CCCCCCCCATCTTCTACATTAGGTATTTCTCCGAATTTTCTAAAGCCAGAAAGAACAGATAACCTTTTGTACAGACATTGGAAAACTATTGATACTGATTCCTTCTTTTTGCAGATTTGAAATTCAGACCATGTCATTTCTTTCCGCAATCCCTTTCAAAGGAGTATGGTGTTTTCTGTTATCCTTATGTGAGTTACATAGTTGAAGAAATGGAAATGTAGGGCTTAGCTTGATGTAGGAGAGAAGAGACTTGGTCTCCCTTTTGCAGGTGGAGTGCAAGTTGGTGCTGGGTGTCCCTCCTTGGGAGTTTCAGGTAAAATCTGGAATTGGTAGTAAGGCTGTTTGCTTCTATGCTGTTAGCAGAAGTCTTACCCCAGAGTACAGTGGCTTCAAAAGTAGGCAGAAAAGTGAAAGCATACCAGGAAGAATGAGAATCTCACCTTGCCGTATTCTTTGGTATTTCACTCATGGATCAAAAATGTGAGCATCAGGAAGATTGCACTGGGTTTTTGAATCTTCTCTTCTTCTCAAACGGCTATTTGTTGACTAATAGGAGCATCTCCATTGATTAGAAGTGATGGAGACATAATACTTATGCCTTTGGAAGAGAGAAATAGAATGTGAACGCAACCTATTCTTGAAAGAGCTTAAAATAATATTCTATACCAAGCTGATTCTCTTTGGAACTGCAGTTGTCCACCAAGATAAACAGCTTCAATCAGCGAGCAGTTTTTTCTAATCAGGTTTACAGCTTTGAACTTCAATGAAAACTGATTTTCTAAATTGTTAGTGGAATTATATTTTCAGTCTGGTTGTCTTTTCATTCAAAGAAGCTGAGCTAATGAGAGCAGGTGTTGGAGAGAAAATGAGCCATGAAATTCTCTCTATCTGTTGGACCTAGAATGCTGAATTGAGAGTTGCAGAATTGGCCATTTGTTAGGCTACATTTCAGGATTTCCCCTCAAGTTTCACAAAACGGAAAATTTAAATAGTGATATTAGTTTTCATGTACCATAAGAAAATGAAGGAAAATAATTCCTTTAGCTAAAGGAAATGATGGACATAGTTGCTTTTGTATAAATGATTGTCTACCATTTTTCCAGTAATTGTCATTCTTCTTTACCATGTGCCCTCCAACTCTTATTGCTGAGATGTAGAAGAAATAAGAGCATACAAGGGAAAGAGTTCTCTGAACTTGCAATTCTGGTCTCATACTTCTTCTTACCTCTCTTGGCTAAAGTAGAAATAATGAGGATGTAGTATATTACCCCTTTACACTTCTGAAAAGGTTCTTAACTTTTCTACGAATCAAGTCAATTTTCTATGTAATATCTTGACACGGATTGTCAAAAAAAATTTAGTGTGGAATGGAATGGAGCCAAATTTCATTTTACTTGAAACTCCATTACAGGTGGAAAGCTGTAGGGGTACTTGAAAATGCAGGTACTAGAATGGAAATTATTTGACTTGCTCCCTAACCTTAAAATGCTATTTAAAGATGAATCTCATATCTGAAAGTGCACATGCCAGATTGTTAGCAGTTGGTCACCTCTGAGAGAGTGGAAGACTTTCAATTTTTACTTTTTAAACTTTTGAAATATTAGGAGTTTTTTTTGTTTGTTTTTGTTTTTAAATACAATTGACATACATTTTTCTTAAAAGGGATTTTTAATGACCTCAGTTTTCTGTGTAAATATATTGTTATATAAAGGATGTGGAAGAGAAGCTTTATTGCTTATTGCTTCATCCAGCCAACCCAGACTTTTGATCTTTGACAGATTTGTTTCCAAGTAAATAATTTTAAATAAGTTACCATTTTACTGCATATCTTTGGAGGTTAGATAGCATCTCCTACCCTCAGGCATGAGCATGTCAACCAACTGCCCCAGGCAGATAAACATTTTATATTTAAAGGTTCCCAGGAGAGAATTTACAGCTCTATTTACTATGAGGCTATTCTTGAATATATCTGTTTTGAGTGACTCATGCTATAATGTGTTTTCTTCTTCTTCTCCCCTGGTCCCTGCTTACTAACCCTCTGTGTACCTACACTCTTACATTATTGTTAGAATGCTGTGAGGTGAGGTATCCACTTAAAGTTGGCTGTAACTGAGTAGTATTACAGACATTATGTGACATACTGGCATGTAGTGATTAAGGAGACATGGTCTCACATAAAGACACCAGCATGGGCGTGTGGCTCAGCACACTTTGCGGCTTGGGAAATACCTCATTCCCATGTCCACTTAACATTCCTCCGTCTGTTGGGATTGTTCTCCATCACAAAGGTGCTCTTGGCTCCTTTTCTTTGTGACTTCCATGGCGCATGCCACCTACACGAAGAAGGGAGAAGGTTGTGGTACCATCCTAGTTGCAAAGACTCAGAAACTGACCTTCCTTTGAATTCCATCTCCACCCTCTACTCAATCTTAATTCTTCATTTGTCAAATGGAACTAATAGCACTGAACTCACCTGGCAGTTTGTGAGAACCAAGTAAGCTTTTTGTTCGTACAAGAATATGGATCAGCTTCTCGCTAACTAAGCTCCCAAAAGACTTAGATGAAATTAATTTGCAGTTTATTATTTGGCAGTGGAAAAACAGAACCCTCTGAGAAGACACTGTTTCGTCTGGCTAGCACATGAACTACATGGAGAGACATTTGTGTATCTTAGTGAACACAGATTCAGAATAAGGAGAATTAATGGCATAATTCAGATGTTTGACATTGTCAGGAATGTGGCTGAAAACAGTATCCCCATAGCAAGTAGGTCACAGTAGTAAAAACAGAAGGTGCCTGGGAATCAAACAGCCATCTGTGATAAGTTGCTTTTTCTCAGCTTCTGCAAAATGGGTATGATAACACTTGCTTATTTGCTTGGTTTAATTATGAGATAATTCAATGTCAAAAAGTCCCCGTAAGAACTAGCCTTCTTCATCCCCATCCTTTAAAATATTGAGCCATACCTGATCTGTAATTGGTGAAGTAAATGATCCAGTATTCTATATTCACTTCTATTTTCCATGGGACTAGAAGATGTTTCCGAAGCCTGTTCTGTTGTTATCTTCGCTTGTTTATATCATGCTGTCCTTGAAAATCATAGTTACCTGTCTTGATTGCACAGATTTATAAATAAGGCATAGTCACATTTTATACATGCATATTCATAGATGTGGAATGCAACTATAATAGCAATTTGAACAGAGGAAATTAAAAATGTTTTGAGTAATGCCCATGGCTGCATACATTTTACCTAGTGACTCATCTCTACTTTTGTTTGTTGATACCCGTATTAGACCAGTTGAAAAGGTCAGCAGGCCAGGTGCCATGGCTCATGCCTGTAATCCCGGCATGTTAGGGGGCTGAGACAGGAGGATTGCCTGAACCCAGGAGTTCAAGACCAATGTGGACAAAATAGTGAGACCCTGTCTTTGCAGAAAATAAAACAAAGTAGCTGGATGTGCTGGCATATGTCTATGGTCCCAGCTACTTGGGAGGTGAAGGTAAGAGGATTGCTTGAGCCCAGGAGGTCTAGGCTGCAGTGAGCCACGATCACGCCACTGCACTACAGCCTGGGCATGAGAGCAAGACCCTGTCTCAAAAGAAAAAAAGGGGATCATCAGAGTGTGCCTGCTTTGAATGACACTACCGTCATCTCCATATCTAAGCTGTAGACGGCTGAAGTATATGCAGGCAACAAGAGGCAGTTTCAGTATTCCCTGTGCTTATACAGAGGCCATACTCATCTCAAAAACATCTGACTTATAAATGACCCACAGATAAGGGCAAGATGGGAACATTATCTCTTGCCCTCGCTCCTGAAACTAGTTTTCAGAGAACCTACGGTTCAGAATGCCTTCCTGCTCCCTCTCCTTGTATTTCCCCGTCATCGCTCAACCTCTCATGCCATCTCTTCTGGGAAACACTCCTTGAATTCTGCAGAATGAGTTTCTGGCTTTTCTCTGCTGTGGGAAATGAGTGGAAGGTGTCTGTGTCTGAGAAGTGGTACAGAGGGGCACGTGTTAGGCAGGTTGACAGATGGTCACACTCAGTACATGGGCTGAGCTCAATTCGAAGGGTCCTGTGTGTCATGTTGAGGACATTTATCTCTTAAGCAACTGGGAAACTAGATTGTTAAACCTTGAAATAGAGTAACTAGATTAAAATGTTAAAAATTGTTTTAAAATAGGTAGCCTGCAGTCTGACTGGCACTGTAATCTAATAAAGTGCTAACAGGTAAACTTTCTATACAACTGGGAAGTTGGCTTCAGGGATTCTGCATGAAGGAAATCTTCATGCAAAGGCTGAAAATTATAGAAAAAATATAATTGCAACAAATGCAGGATGATTTGCTGAAAGAGGTATGAGAATATACCTGTGTTTACATTTCACTTTGAGATCACTATGGCTTGTGGGCCTGTGACAAGACAGTTCTGTCGTTGTCTCCATTTGCCCTTCCTGGAAACGGAGCATGGTACAGGCGTCCCCACTCCTCAGGGCCATTCATTTATTCTGCATCCAGGGACTCAGTATCAGGTTCTTTTAGCCATTTCCTTGCCAAGAGTCGGCTTGTTATTTGGCTTGTTTGTGGCTGTGTGTACAGACAACTTTTTCTTTTTTTTTTTTTTAATTTTATTGCATTTTAGGTTTTGGGGTACATGTGAAGAACATGCAAGATTGTTGCATAGGCACACATGTGGCAGTGTGATCTGCTGCCTTTCTCCCCATCACCCACATCTAGCACTTCTCCCCATGCTATATCTCCCCAGCTCCCCTCACCCTGCTGTCCCTCCCCTATTTCCCCCCAACAGACCCCAGTGTGTAGTGCTCCCCTCCCTGTGTCCATGTGTTATCATTGTTCAACACCCACCTATGAGTGAGAACATGCGGTGTTTGATTTACTGCTCTTGTGTCAGTTTGCTGAGAATGATGGTTTCCAGGTTCATCCATGTCCCTACAAAGGACACGAACTCATCATTTTTGATGGCTGCATAATATTCCATGGTGTATATGTGCCACATTTTCTTTGTCCAGTCTATCATCGATGGGCATTTGGGTTGTTTCCAGGTCTTTGCTATTGTAAACAGTCCTGCAATGAACATTCATGTACATGTGTCCTTATAGAAGAATGATTTATAATCCTTTGGATATATACCCAGTAACGGGATTGCTGAGTCAAATGGAATTTCTGTTTCTAGGTCCTTGAGGAATCGCCACACTGTCTTCCACAATGGTTGAACTAATTTACACTCCCACCAACAGTGTAAAAGTGTTCCTATTTCTCGACATCCTCTCCAGCATCTGTCGTCTCCAGATTTTTTAATGATCGCTATTCTAACTGGCGTGAGATGGTATCTCAATGTAGTTTTGATTTGCTTTTCTTTGATGACCAGTGATGATGAGCATTTTTTGATATGCTTGTTGGCCTCATGTATGTCTTCTCTAGTAAAGTATCTCTTCATATCCTTTGCCCACTTTTGAATGGGCTGGTTTAATTTTTTCCTGTAAATCTGTTTTAGGCCAGGCGCGGTGGCTCAAGCCTGTAATCCCAGCACTTTGGGAGGCCGAGGCGGGTGGATCATGAGGTCAAGAGATCGAGACCATCCTGGTCAACATGGTGAAACCCCGTCTCTACTAAAAATACAAAAAATTAGCTGGGCATGGTGGCGCGTGCCTGTAATCCCAGCTACTCAGGAGGCTGAGGCAGGAGAATTGCCTGAACCCATGAGGCGGAGGTTGCGGTGAGCCGAGATCGCGCCATTGCACTCCAGCCTGGGTAACATGAGTGAAACTCCGTCTCAAAAAAAAAAAAAAAAAAATCTGTTTTAGTTCTTTGTAAATTCTGGATATCAGCTCTTTGTCAGATGGGTAAACTGCAAAAATTTTTTCCCATTCTGTTGGTTGCCTATTCACTCGAGTGACCGTTTCTTTTGCCGTGCAGAAGCTGTGGAGTTTGATTAGGTCCCATTTGTCTACTTTGGCTTTTGTTGCCAATCCTTTTGGTGTTTTGGTCCTGAAGTCCTTGCCTATGTCTATGTCCTGAATGGTTTTGCCTAGATTTTCTTCTGGGGTTTTTATGGTGTCAGGTCTTATGTTTAAGTCTTTAATCCATCTGGAGTTAATTTTAGCGTAAGGTGTCAGGAAGGGGTCCAGTTTCTGCTTTCTGCACATGGCTAGCCAGCTTTCCCAACACCATTTATTAAATAGGGAATCCTTTCCCCATTGCTTGTTTTTGTCAGGTTTGTCAAATATCTGATGGTTGTAGATATGTTGCGTTGCGTCCGAGACCTCTGTTCTGTTCCCTTGGTCTATATCTCTGTTTTGGTACCAGTACCATGCTGTTTTGATTACTGTAGCCTTGTAGTATAGTTTGAAGTCCGGTAGTGTGATGCCTCCCGCTTTGTTCTTTTTGCTTAGAATTGACTTGGCTATGCAGGCTCTCTTTTGGTTCCATATGAAGTTTAAGGTGTTTTTTTCCAGTTCTGTGAAGAAGATCATTGGTAGCTTGATGGGGATAGAGTTGAATCTGTAAATTACGTTGGGCAGTATGGCCATTTTCACGATATTAATTCTTCCTAACAATGAACATGGAATGTTTCTCCATCTGTTTGTGTCCTCTCTTATTTCGTTGAGCAGTGTCTTGTAGTTCTCCTTGAAGAGGTCCTTTACATTCCTTGTTAGTTGTATTCCTAGGTATTTAATTCTCTTTGTGGCAGTTGTGAATGGCAGTTCGTTCTTGATATAGCTCTCTTTAAGTCTGTTATTGGTGTATAGGAAAGCTTGTGATTTTTGCACATTGTTTTTGTATCCTGAGACTTTGCTGAAGTTGCTTATCAGTTTCAGGAGATTTGGGGCTGCAACGATGGGGTCTTCTAGATATACAATCATGTCGTCTGCAAATAGAGACAATTTGACTTCCTCCTTTCCTTTTTGAATACCCTTTATTTCTTTTTCTTGCCTGATTGCTGTGGCTAGAACTTCCAGTACTATATTGAATAGGAGTGGTGAGAGAGGGCACCCTTGTCTAGTGCCAGATTTCAAAGGGAATGCTTCCAGTTTTTGCCCATTCAGCATGATATTGGCTGTTGGTTTGTCATAAATAGCTTTTATTGTTATGAGATACATTCCGTCAAACCTAGCTTATTGAGGGTTTTTAGCATAAAGGGCTGTTGAATTTTGTCAAAGGCCTTCTCTGCATCAATTGAGATAATCATGTGGTTTTTGTCTCTGGTTCTGTTTATGTGGTGTATCACGTTTATAGACTTGCGTATGTTGAACCAGCCTTGCATCTCCGGGATGAAGCGTACCTGATCATGGTGGATTAGGTTTTTGATGTGCTGTTGCAATCGGCTTGCCAGTATTTTATTGAAGATTTTTGCATCTGTGTTCATCGTGGATATTGGCCTGAAGTTTTCTTTTCTTGTTGAGTCTCTGCCAGGTTTTGGTATCAGGATGATGTTTGTCTCATAAAATGATTTGGGAAGGATTCCCTCTTTTTGGATTGTTTGGAATAGTTCAGAAGGAATGGTACCAGCTCCTCTTTGTATGTCTGGTAGAATTCGGCTGTGAACCCGTCTGGACCTGGGCTTTTTTCGGGTGGTAGGCTCTTAATTGCTGCCTCAACTTCAGAACTTGTTATGGGTCTGTTCAGGGTTTCGGCTTCTTCCTGGTTTAGGCTTAGGAGGAGGCAGGTGTCCAGGAATTTATCCATTTCTTCCAGATTTACTAGTTTATGTGCATAGAGTTGTTTGTAATAATCTCTGATGATGGTTTGAATTTCTGTGGAATCTGTGGTGATATCCCCTTTATCGTTTTTTATTGCATCAATTTGGTTATTCTCTCTTTTCTTTTTTATTAATCTTGCTAGTGGTCTGTGTATTTTGTTGATCTTTTTGAAAAACCAGCTCCTGGACTTATTGATTTTTTGAAGGGTTTTTTGTGTCTCTATTATCTTCAGTTCTGCTCTGATCTTAGTTATTTCTTGTCTTCTGCTAGGTTTTGAGTTTTTTTGCTCTTGCTTCTCTAGCTCTTTCAATTTTGACAATAGGGTGTCAGTTTTTGATCTCTCCTTGCTTCTCATGTGGGCACTTATTGCTATATATTTTCCTCTAGAGACTGCTTTAAATGTGTCCCAG